TGAAGGACATTGTAAGCATGCCCTATGTAGCTGACCTTGCAACAAAGGCATCAAAAATTATTATTTTTGTGTACAATCATGTGGCTTTTCTTTCATGGCTTAGGAGAAGAGATGGCTGGATAAAAATTGTGCGCCTAGGAGCGACAAGGTTTACTACTACCTTTATTACATTGAAAAGTTTGCATGAGCACAAGCATGACTTGCAAGCCTTAGTCTTAGATAAACACTTTCATGATAATAAACTATCAAGGACTAAAGCTGGGCAACTAGTTGGTGACATTGTGTTGGATAAGAAGTTTTGGGATGATTGCCATCAAATTGTATGTCTTGTGGGTCCTCTTATCGAGCTACTAAGAATTATAGATACTGATGAAAAACCATCTTTGGGTTATGTTTATGAGGGTATGCAGAGAGTAAAAAATTCAATCAAAAATTTCTTTCGCAGAAAGAAGGAACAATACAAACCTTATGCAAGCATAATTCAAGCTCGGTGGGATAAGCATTTGAAGTGTGATTTGCATGCAACAGCCTACTTTTTAAATCCTGCATTCTTATATGATCAAAGATTTATTGAGAAGAGTAGAGTAACAGAATCAATGTTGGACTATTTTTCAATATACAAGTCTACCTATAAATATTCTGACATGATTTCTGAGATGCAAATGTACCGCAAGCGCCAAGGCTCTTTTAGTCGAGAAGAAGCTCATAAAGTAGCAAATGAAATACAACCTGGTTAGCTTCTTCCTCTTTTTTTTCTTTTATTATAATTTTAAATATGAACTACTATTAATTTAATTGAATTTGATGTAGATATCTAGTGGCAATGTTTTGGGGGTAGTGCTTCAATATTACAAAAGTTTGCAATTCGTATTTTGGGACAAACTTCTTCTTTTTCAGGATGTGAAAGAAATTGGAGCCTATTTAAAAGAATTCATACCAAAAAAAGAAATAGGCTAGAACATGAAAGATTGAATGATCTTGTGTTTGTTAATTACAACTTGCGTTTGCTAAACCGGTGATCATTAATCATTACTCAAATTTGAAATAACTCTCTTTGGCTTCAATAATTGAATGATTAGGGATTTGATTATGATTTTTAATATATATGTATAAGGTCAAAATTGAAGAAGGTGATCTATGATCCTGTTGATTATGAATCAATTGATAAGCTTGAGTATTGGATAGCTGAAGAAGTTTCAACTCCAAATCCTGATTTCACTATTGAGGAAATTCAAAATGAAGATTTTCTTAGTGAAAATGCATGTCCCTCTGGATCTAGTCTTGAATTAAGGGAAAATGAAGGTTGCTCCTCTTTTTTTTACATTAAAGCTTTGTTTGATTTATAGTTTATTCATTCATTATTTATATGTCAATGCTAACTATTTTTTTACCAAATATATGTCTAGGTGTTGTTGAAGATGTCAATGTTTTGTAATCTCCTATTTTGCATTCATCAAATGCTATAAGAGTTGAAGGAAACGTTTATGATCTCTAACATGATTTTGGAGAGTTTAATTTAGAAGATTTATATGGCAATTGAATGTTGTAGTTTTTTTAGTTGAATTTGGACCATTGGATTGTATGATAATGTTAAACTATGGTGTTGTGTTGTGCATGGCCATGAATGACTTTGAAATATGCCTTTAAACTTTAAAGTATGATGAAATTATTACTTTATTAGTAGCTAGTTATCTTTAGTTTATCATATTTCCTATAATTTTTAATGTATAATATTTAAAATATATTAATTTAATTACAAATGGTCTAACCCCGGTTTGACCTCGGTCCAACCTTTGAACCGTGAACCAGTGCCTTGACCGATTCAATGTCCGGTCCGGTTTTAATAACATTGATTTCAAGTGATGTTATTATTTTTTATTCTTTATTAAAATAAAAATAAAAATAAAATAAAATAATTTATAAATTAAATATAATTTATAAATTAATAAATTATATGTAATTCGGTTGGTTCGGTCTATTTGATTTTAAATTTTACTAACCGAATCGAACCGAAATATTTAAAATAAAAAAATTGAATCGAACCGAAAAATCAAATATACTGAATCAAACAGATAAAATTCGATTCGATTCAGTTCGATTTTCGGTTTCGATTCAGTCTTGATCACCCCTATTAATGACCACTAAAAATGTTTGATGAAGCTAATGAGAATTAAAGAGAGTTAATATACTCAATGAGTAAGCTTAAATGTGAGAAATAAGGGTATTAAATATATTAGAAATGAAAATGAGAGTTAGAAGTGCATATTTGACAATGTTAATTGAGTTTGAACTTGATTAATTGTAAAGTAATTGTCCAAGCACCATATTTGGCCTGAAGAGCAAGCTTGGAAGCATATATTGAAGGTAAACCTCTTGGAAGCATATATTGAAGGTAAACCTTTGTCCTCTCAAAGGTTTTAAGATAATTGGAGAAAAACTTATCTTAGATAGTTATTTATAATTGTGTTATAATGTGAAAATGAGTTTATTTGCATGTATGATTAAAATTGTGAATATGGAAGCATGTTATAAATCATATGATAGTGTAATAACCTTGATTTGGCCTAAAAATGGAGTTGAATTCAAAATGATTAGCCTTCTGGTGCACAAAGGTTAGCCTTATTTCAATGTTTGTTAAGGAACTATCCTATAATTTTTTGAAGGACCAGAAATTAGCTATCTTCACTTGTTGTCGAGGAGATTAGTTTAGAGTATATGACACTCTAGAGATTCAAAAGTAAGAAAGTCATAGTCCGAAAGTAAATGTTGTGATTTTTGGCTGGCTCACAGTTCACAATTAGTGAGATTGAGTAGTTCAATTATATGGATGGAGCCCTGATTGTTATTATAGCCCATGGTTTCAATCAAAAAATATAAGGATGGTATAAGGAGAAATTGATCATGCATATGTATATATCTAACGTACACATAGTTGATAAGTTTATGACAAGTCGTGATAACAAATGTGCCATTATCACATGATTATTTATATTGTGACAATATGTTTGTGGATTAGGCCATTATTACATGTATGTCTATATTGTGGCAATGTACCCTACAATTTTAAAATGTGAAATTTGAAAATGAGTAAATTGTGAAATTACAACTTGTATAATATGAATCTTATATTTGAGTGTTCAACTCTCTTTTGTATACTTTAATCTATTGATATGCAACTGCATATGATAGGTGCATCTTAATTATTAAGTGATTGTACTCACCCCTCTCTTTCATATTTTACAGGCCCTAGCTACGGTGTGAAAAGAAAAAAGCTCTAAAGGCTTAGAAATTTAGATCTCCTATTGTAAAGTCTCTTAACTTCATTTATTTTTATGTAATAGTTGGAATATTGTCAATTATGATATATTTTGTTTACCCTTGCACTATGTTATTGCTTAAAATCTTGAGATATATTTTGAGCCCTAGGATGTTGTATATAAGTTTTTTAAGTGTTAATAGTCCAAAATACTAGTGTAAGTATAAGAATGTTGATTTGATCATAACTATGTACATTGATTGTAAAATGCAATGTTAAAACCTTCCCCTTTTGTTTTTGGTATTAAAAGGGTTGATGAGTAAAAGTTCAAAATGATTAGAATTATGTGCCTATGTTGTATTATACAAATAATCCTAAGTCATTTATGTGTGTTTTGGGTGTTGGTAATGACTTTTGGCACATATGTAGAGTTTTGGACGCTCTTGAATTGTGAAAAGTGTAAAAAATGGTGAAAGTATTTTTGGGTGTTCATCTTCCTTGTATGAGATAATTTAAAAGAAAAATCTGTGCCATTAACTAGTTTATAAAAAAAATTTTTCTTAAATATTTAGATCATTTCATTTAAACATCGAACAGAGAAATGAGACACGTAAAAAGTTGCCTTGCATTGTTGTCAAATGACACAAAAATTGTTATTTGATATATGCAACACGTTGCGACGTGTGATATAGAAAGAAACAGCTGTGGCACATGTGCATATATTGTGACACGTTGCCTTATTTTTATTCATTGATTTTTTTAATTATTTTTGAGTCTTTTCACTACCATGAGATATCTCACTTTTAATATATTATTTTGTTTTGATTAGAGATTTGCTAAATACTTGTTTAGTAATTTGAAATTATGAAAACTTAAAATATCATTTTTATAAATTACAAATTTAATTTAATTAGTTTAGATCAATGATTGTCTTGAATTTTTGTAGTTAATTGTAAGAGACTTTACAACACTACCAGAAATTACAAACTGATGTTAAACCAAAGGCTGGATTCCGCGGACAAGATACTGTCTCGTATGAACCAAAAAGGGGAATATCTTTTCAGGTTTTTTCGAGTTAGTTTAAAGTCGTACTTAATGCATCCACTGTATATGAATTGGCAACGACAAACAGCAGCCGCGATAGCCTGACCTTGTGCTTGTGGTAAAGCTCATTGAATGACAGCGCAACAAGATTGTTTGTCCGATGCAAGAAGATGCTCAACAATCCCGTGACTGAGGATAGCAAGCGTTGCAGCAGATTAAATTTTCATGTATTCTTTTTCGGGCATCTTAGACTTCTGTCGTTCATCAGGGCTTCGTTTATCATGATTCTGTTGGTGCAGTCTTCATCCTTATCATACCAATCATTTTTTATAGCCTCATTGTTGCATAAGTCAGATTATCAATATCATCAGGATAAAAATAATATATAGCAGAAGGAAGGAAGGTCCTAAGCTATCTAAATAATGTGACTCATCCTTCATATTCTATATAATACATGAAGCCTGCGTCTGATTGCTGATATTTGTTACTTCTTTTCACAATATACAGTCTCTCAGAAATAAAATAAAAATTATCAAATATTTTAATCACAATTTAACACCCCCCCCCAAAAAAAAAAAAAACATGCCTTCTACTTAATTTTGTTGGTATTAAAAATGTGTTTAAGTCAGTCTAGGTTGTTGTGTGGTCGACAATTTTAAAGCCGTTTACTTTATTTTAAAGAGATCAGCACACAAAAAAAGAGAAGTGAATATGACTAATGATAAACAATTATTCCAAGCCTTACATAGGATGGGAAATCTTGTCACGTGATAAAAAATTTCCATTTCTTCATAGAAAGCTCATAAGTTAAGGTTATCATGACAATCAGACAAAAATCTCACTCTGCAAGTTGCAATCTACACCAGCTTCAGCGGCACGGCGAGGCTTGTTTTTCCGCCTGCTTCCATTTTGTCGGAATCCGGCAGGCTTTGTTGAATCATCAGTTCTGATGGCATTCTCCTCTTTCACTTCATCTATCTTTTCTTTAACTAGTGCAGATCTTTTCCTTTTTCTCTTATCCTCGGTGCTGAAATTATTAACTTCCATAGTCTCCACCTCTTTTGTATTTCCTGATGCCTTTTCTACTTCCACAATTTCATCCTTTTGTGACTTTTGTTGTCTTCCACTTCGCCTGTATGCAGAAACTTTGTCCTCTTCAATTCCAGGTTCTTCCAGCTTAGCAACAACAGATTGCTTCTTTCCTTTTCCTCTGCCTTTACCTATAGTGAAAAGGACCTTGCCGGTTAAATCTACCAAATAGCTCTTCAACAAATCTGCAGAGGAAAAGTAATTACGCTTAAAGGTTCAAGTGTAGGTTGAAGAACACTAAATCACAATGAAAGATGTCAAACAATTCAAAAGGAAATAGTTCTGAGCACACTTCATGTTTCAGTAATACGCTAATACTTTACACACCTCTACTCCGCTCGCCGGCAATACTTCATCAGTAATAATTCCTTAAATCAATTCTCAGTGCCTATTAAAGCAATGCTACCAAAGAAAGAAGTGAATCAAGTGTTATGCAGGTGATTATTTCTCTTCAGTGCTCTGCCCATGAAGGAACAAGTAAACAACACATCAGTTAAAATCTGAAGTGAGCTAAAAGCAATGGTAGAGGACATGGAAACTTGCGCCATTTAACAAAACTACTGAATGTTTGGCCAAAAGAGAAAAGAACAAAACTACTTAATGTAATGTTAATGCATGGCCAAACGAAGAAAGAGCTCAACCTCACCGAGCACACAAGAAAAGATAACAAGATATCAGACCTATGGATGATTTCTTGGGGCCATTCAAGAACAACATTCTTGCTTCTTTCCCATTTTCTCATTGAGTGAAAGGTACGAAATAAATAAGATTGATTTTTCAATCAAAAATACTATGTGAAATTTCTGGTTTTTCCTCTTTCTCTATCCCTCTATCGTAGGTATGGCGTTTGAATTGATAGAGAATCATTTTTTTTTAGTATTATTACATTCCAATTCCTTTCCATACCTCCCAAGAAAAATCCTGAATTGGATCCCAAATTGATGGGTTAGTGTGAGCTTATCCATGCGATCATGCACTTTTCAAATAGAAATCTATTTTTGAAAGATCCTCGCTTCCATGGTTTGGGGAGTCTTCAAGTTCATTTTGTTAATTCAGAAACAACATTCACAGTAAGCATGGGATTTGCAACACGTCTCTTTGAGATTATAAGCAACCAATCCAAGGAATATGTCATGAGTACAAATTCAAAGAGAGAATCCAATCCCCAAAAACCAGCCTGTTGGGAAGAAGAACTACTTGAACTTATAAACCCCACTTACCTTGCAAGGCTCGGGCTCCCCAATATGAGATTCATTACAGAATAGGGATCTCCATCTCCCCCTAGCCAGAGCCTATTAGGGGAATGACAAAATATTGCCATGTCTAATTTAATATTACTCTCCTCAGCAGCGATTTGAAGTCGTTTACTGATACAAAATCTACTTAATAAAAAAAGGACCTGAATCCCATTACGCATTCAAATGAAACTGTCACCAAACCCAATCCCAATCTAGCTAATTGAACATCCTAATTTCCTCTGATCCTGAACAAGTACACCTCCGTGACTAAACAAGTTTCCTCGCTAAGATTCGTAAAATAAAAAGACGATAGGATTTAATAGGAAAAAAAAAAGAACAATAAACAGCCTATTCTGTAAGATTCATTAGAAATAAATAAAGCAAGGGAAACCAAGAGAATTGCGGCTAACCTCTTATACTTTATTTACTTTCTGCATCTGAAACACAAGGATTGCCCATTCTTATAAAATCTGGTCACACAAATCTGGAAACCGTAAAAGCGGAATTCTTTGACTGGCTTCTTGTTGTAGAGAGTAATTCTAACGTACAACAGAGTCGATGAAGCAGTGGAAGAAATTGATCTAAATTAGATAAGAGGAAGACCCAGATCAGAAAGGGATGCGATGGATAAATGTAAAAGATTGAAGCTTCTTCCTATGTAGCCAAGACGAGTTTGAGAGCAGTAATAACCAAAGGAAGAAGAAAAGAAGAGGCAGATGAAAAGCAATGAATTGGAGGCAGTAGGAAGGAAAAAGGGCGACCGAAAGTATATGCATTGAAAATGACAGCAGCAGCATCTAAAATTTCTTAAAATAAATGATAATTTGTAATTTTAAAAAAAGTTACCCTTTGCAATGAATTAACAACCAAATTTGGTAATTATATATTACCTTTATTTAAATTATAAAATATTTTTTAAAAAAATTTTTATCTTAAAATATAAAACACTTAAAATAAATTAATATTTTATTAAATATGTTAATTTTAATATTATATTTTCTCTCTTTATAATTAATGTTGATCTCTTCTCTTTTTAATGTATTAAATAATAAATATTTTTAAAATTTATATTTATATTTTAAAAAGATAAAGTTATTAAGTATATTTAATAAGATTTATTGATATGTAAAATTTTATCTAAAAATATTTTATAATTTAAAATGGAGGAAATATAAAGATTCATTTATCTTTTGTTTATTAATATCAATAAAATTAGGCAAAACATTGTTTTTGGTCTTAGCATGTTTTGTATTAGTCTCTACTTTTGTTTCATTATTTTAAATTCCTCAAGTTTCATCTAATTGCAATATTAATCATCATATTTTTAAGAAAAAATTAATTATTTAATTTTTGAAATTTTAATTTATTTATAACTTAATCTTTAAATTTTAACTTATTATAATTTAGTTCTTATAGTTTTAACTACTTAAAATATTAGTCCTTATATTTTAAAAATAAAATTCTAAAAATTAAAATTATGTTGACATTTAGGGACTAATTTTAAATTATTAAAAATTTTAATTTGATAAAGAATATAATGATTTAATCTTTCTAATTTATTTTTTAAAATATAGGAACTAATATTTTGAATAATTAAAATCATAGAAATTGAGTTAGAATGAGTTAAAATTTAATAAATAAATTATAACTATATTAAAATTTTAAGGATTGTGGTATAATGAATCAATGCTCAAGGGCTAAGTTACCACTGAACTAAAACTTCGAGTACTAAATGATTTTTTTTTTTTTATTTTTAAGCATGACCATAAACATTTAATTGTGACTAACATGCGCATAAATTTTGTTGCTTTTTTTATTGACTTGTCAATGTTATGATGAGTTATATGAAAAATAAGTACAAGACAACCAAAAAAAAAAAGTAGGACATTAAATCATAATCCTTAAACATGCTATGGATTGAGCTTTAAAAGGAACAAAACACATAACTAGGGAAGATAGGCAAAAAAAATAGTAGCCATCTTGTTCATATAATATCCAACTCATCATAATTGTATCAATTTGCCAATAAAATTAAACAAAATTATGTGCACACCGACATGTTTAACTCCTTAAGTGATGATAATAAAGACTAAAATTTAGTGGCAAAGCCGGGACTTAAGGGTGCAAGATAATTTAATTCAAAATTAATAATTATTTTAAAAATAATATAATTATAATAGAAGTAAAATTGCAATAACATAAATAGATTAATTGTTATTTTTTTTACAAAAAATATGTCATACAGATTGATATAGTTTTCATGAAAAATATTTTCTTCACATCTTTTATCCATCATTAAAATATTACAAATGAGCTTTTGAGATTAAATTTTTTATTTAATTCAAAGTGTGCAAAATACTAAAAGTGAGAGATGTAAAGTTATAAAATTTATATACACTACTTACAATTTTATCAAAGTATGCACCCTCCTCGCCAGTGAGTAGCTCCATCATTGCTAACCTTGCAAACATATGAAATTTAAAGCACTTGCAACAAAGAAATAGAAGCACATGGACTAATGCTAAAACATATTAAAAGCGTAAATGTAACATCCTGATTTTTTATATAATAAAGAAATTGTGGAATTTAGGTTTTGAGAAAAAAAATGATAATAATAGGAATTTATATTATTTGAGGTTATTTAGAAATAATATTATGGTTAGGTATTTAATTATGAATTTAAAAATTTAAATTTAAAACCACATAAGCAATATTTAGTTAAGATATAATACATAAATAATTTTTTTTATGTATGTGTTGAAAAAAAAAAAGAGAGAAGGTAGAAGGAACAAAAAAAAGGGGGTGGAAGGTTGTTGTTTCTAAGTCCCACATTGGTTAGATGAGGGAAGAGAAGAGGTGCCTTCATGTATAAAAAGGAGGGGGTGTGTGCATTAGGAAGCATGAGAGGCTAAGATGCAATTTAGAGAAAATTGCAACTTTTGGCCCAAAGGTTTGAATAATTAAATTCAAACTTATAGTTTTTTTTAATATAATTTTGGGACTCACAATCCCATTTTTATATTATTTTTCTCTCTTTCCTGTTTAGATTAGCATTTAAAAATTTATTTAATTACAAAATTAATTTTATAGTTATTTTCTAAATAATATTAGCTTTCTAGTGATATGATTATTTTGTAGGATAGAGTAAATATTTTGATTAGGATTTTTCTATAGGATAGTTAATCTGATGATATGATGGATTAAAAATATAGGTTAAAATTCTTAGGGATATAATAAATATTATAGAATATTTTCTTGAGGTTGAAACTCATGTTTAAGAATTTTTGAGTTAAAATCTAGATCTATATGGTTGAATTTATGTGGAATCTGAGACGTAGGGATAAACCTATGATTATTAAATATTTATTTAAGTATGAATAGGTATTTTTGAGGTTATAGAAAGGTGATTTGAGGCTTCAGGATAATTCTAAAATTTTTAATTTATTTTTGGATGAATTTTTAGAATGTAGAAGGATGAAATTGTGATACTAGAAGTGAATTGAGGATAAAAAAAATAGTTCATTAGGGTACGAGAATTTTAGAAAAGAATTTGGGAAGTTAAATGAGGCATAAATCTTAAATTAGTGTTAATATGGACTATAGATTAAGACTTTCTAACTCTTTAAATTAGAGTTATTTATTTTAATGTAAAATTAATATATAGTATTGTGAAATAATTATGTAGATTATATTGACAAAGATAGTGGTGAAAAAGGAGTTGTGAAGGGGAACTTGTTATTCAAGACACAAGGTAACCATTATTAATGTGTTGTGATGAGTGTGTTTGTGAATGGTTATGTGTTGTTTTGTTGTTTGAAAAAATTATGAATTATTGAAAATAAATACTGTATATACTTGTTTGAAATTATTGCCAAGTGGGTTAAAAATTTATTTTTGTTTATCATGATGAGATATTATTGTTCGGATATATTCCTGTTTGGATATTTGAATGAT